TCCCAAACTGATCAAGCCAATCAACTATCTCACCTATTCAGAGGGCCTGATCCAGCTGGGGGCCCCTCAGCCTTTGGTTCATAGTTCATGTGTTTCCATTCATTTGGCTATAACAAAGGAGATTTTAATTAGTAACTTTTTTTTTAAATTAGGAGGATAAGGAGATATATATATATATATATATATATATATATATATATATATATATATAAAATACTAAAAAGTGCCCAGCACTCAACATGGGGTAGAATGGTTGGTAGGGGTGTTAAACAAACTCAATATGAATTTGTCTATTATTCTAGGAAAGTATTAATAAAGTCACAAAAGCCATTGGGTTAGAACAATGAGGAACTTGAATTAGCCATCACAGCTCACAGGAGCTCACACAGCTAACTAAGGGGCTCTTGACTTAAAACATGTTCTACCTCCAGAGTTCTCATTTTCTAGCACTAAGGTAGAAATTGTGGCCAGATTTGAGTTCTCTCTGCTGGGGCCCAGCTTCCTAAACTACGTATCACAACCATGAACGACAGACACTGTGTAACTGAAGTGAAGGCACAAAACGAGTGGCAGTACTAAAAGATTTCTAAACTTCAACAAGCAAACATTAATTCAAAATCAAACACCCTGTGTATCTAGTGTCTCCCTGGGAATCTGTGGTGTCTCGGCAGCACTTGGCCGTGTTGATCAGAGCTTCTGTGCCACCTTGGTTTTGACAGCTCACTTGAATTGTGCATGCCCTCATACCACCCATGCCTGAGGTATCTCACTCAGGTCCCCATGTCACTGCAGTTTTTGCTCTTATGGAGACATGATGGTTTACTTATGGGAAACAAAGACTTTGGGTACCATCAATCCTCATTATTTTAAGTGTCAAATTACATATTTTTGGATTTTATCAAGTTTTATTTTAGCCAGATGTAGTGGTACTTGTCTTGAAACTTCAGCATTTGGGAGATAGAGTCAGGAGAATTGAAAGCTATCTCAACTGCATGGTGAGTTCAAAGCCAGCTTGGGCTACATGAGACCCTATTTTTAAAAAAACAAAGTTTGCTGTTTGAGTTTCTGCCTTGAATTTAATTTCAAAAAATTGTTGAATGAATTTGACTTGGGATTAGGACAGAATTTTCAACAATTTCTGAAATAACCCTGCCATTTCATACTAAACCATTGATGGTTATAAGATCAAAATATCAATTAAGCCAGATGTGGTGGAACACTCATTTAATCCTGCACTCAGGAGGCAGAAACAATCAGATCTCTGAGTTTGAGACCAGCCTGTTTTATGCAGTGAGTTCTAGGCCAGCTAGAGATATATGATGAGACTTTGACTTAAAATAAACAAACAAATAAGTAGCTCTGAAAAAACTTTACTGTATGTTCTACAGTGTCAAATACTCAGATGCAACTTAATTCTTCATGGAAAAATAACAAGCATATCCATCTCATTAGTCTGCAAATTTGATTTTATCTTTTGTAAATGGTAAAATTACATGCCGATGAATCTGGGACTGGGGAGATGACTTAGTAGGTAAATCCTGGCTATGCAAGAATGAGGGCCCCCAAGTTCAGGTACCTGCACCCATGTAAAAATCTGGGAATGTCTGTAACTATAGCACTGAATAGGAGCAGAGACGGGCAGGTCCTCAGAGCTTCCTGGCCAGCTAGTCTAAGCAAAGTGGTGAGGTTCAAATTCAGTTAGCGACTGTTATCCCCAAAGATAAGGTTTTCACCTTATATATATAAAATAGTGAAAGACACCCAGTGTCAACCTCTGCTGCCTTATCTACCCCTTATACACAGACACAAACATGTGCACACGCACATGCCACATACACCAACACATAAAAAGAGTAGAAATAAGATGAATTTCACTGTGGTTTATTATTAGTGTTAGATTTGTATACCAGTTAGATTTGTATATTAATAAAATAATATATTTTATTACCTATGTACCTGGGGCCATGTAAGAATTCATCAGGTAAAAAGAAGTTAATGTAAATAGTTGAAGAAGCCTGTCTGTTTTGCCTAAGTAGACCACCTTAGACAATGGAAGAGCCTCGGGAAGCTAGTTCAGGCTCCAGGTTCTCATCCCACCACCAACTAGCTGTGTGTTGGTGAGCCAGTCTCCTCTCCGTGTTGAACCTGAGTTTCTCGTCTTGTGTTGGTAGAGATTGTTTCACCTAGCTGATAGGGTTGAGAATGAACAGAAGGTGCCCGGCACAAAGGCTCCTGTGATGTAAAGACTCAGCAAATGTTTCCTCCCACCTTGGACTGAAGTCAGGGATACCAGTAAGATTATTTTATTGTATATCTATAATCTTAGCCTTGCTAGAAACGGTGAACCTAAACAAATATAACTGAAGCGTTTTCCACACTGGGGCTGAGGCTCTCATAGAGTCACCATGGCAGCTGTCATTGATACTGCAGACTGCATCTCCACAAAAGCTGAATCTTAATATTGTCACATTCTTCTTGGTTTCTACCCCAGATCTCCTTTGGCTCTTAACATAAGTAGGCAAACATTTTGCAGAGGGAGATCTCAAAGCTTACAGGGATCCAATAACCTTCCTAGACTCTCAGAGCTGTGTGTGGTGCAGCTGGATTTGAACCTGGTTTTACTTGATTCTGCTGGACCCTGGAAACAGTTGCATAATCTACACTGGCTGCCCAGCAGAGCATGGATTTCCCTGTGATTTCCATTTCCCCCAAGTGAAGTTTCCTTCCCATCGTAGATAATCTCTGTCTGCCTTCCTAGCCTTTGCTGGTATCAGTACCCCAGGTAAAAACCTGTATCTGTTCTCCAGATTTAGTGATGAAGGGATGGAGGTGATTGAGCGGCTCATCTACCTATATCACAAGTTCCATCAGCTAAAGGTCAGCAATGAGGAATATGCTTGCATGAAAGCAATTAACTTCCTGAATCAAGGTGAGTAAGTGGTGGGGTGAGGGCAGTGAGGGCAGCAGTTTGTTTTATGTATTTATTTTTGCCAGTAAGCACTTGCCCTTCTGTGTCACATGCACACAACTCCCCATCCTCCCACCCCCAGGACTGTCACAGACTCTGTGTCACCATGTGACCATCAGTCTTGGAAGGCCTACGCTCCCCCTAGTCATCACCCTGCTCGTCTACAGTGTAAGGAATGCTTTGGATTTTTTCTCTTGAAATCTAAATGCCACAATCTCTATAACTCACAGAGGAAGGAAGAGGATTCGCTTTGTTTAGTCAGTTTTAATGCATTTAAACACAGACACCAAGGACAGAACATGCGTCATTTAAAATATGTACCAAGTTTACCAGCAACTGAAGAAGAGCAGGGTGACTGATGAAACTGTTGGAGATAAGGCCGTGGCTGACAGGCTGGCAGCTGCTCTGATGCTCCAGGGAAGAGTGGTGGTACACACTAGTGGTGGTCTAGTTGGTTTATAGTTACTTCGCCAACAAGTAGCACATGGTAGTTGCTGGTAATCAGTCTATGAGGGAAAATGGGTGTTTTTGTTTGTTTGTTTTTTATCAAAAGCAGCATATGAATGTCCCATTCCCAAAGTGGGCCTGCATGATTTTATCCCCTGTAGCTTTGAAAGCACTGTCTTACTAAGCTCTGTTTTCCAATCCAGAGACTCTTGACCCACCCTTCCTTTTTACCACTAATCCCCACTCTACCCTCCAGTACTGGGTAGACATCTTACTCCTGTCTGTATACCATCATGCATTTATCAGGTGACCTACATACCTTCTCTAGCCAAGCCCAGTATCATATATTAAAGACATTGGCAGGGATTGGGGGCGGGGGGGGGGGGGGGGGGGGGAAAAAAACAGACCAGCCCCCAGGCCCCTAAAGAATGTACACTCTGATAGCACTCAATACATGAATTGTACTGCATGTGGGGAAGATGAGTAGCAACTTCTTAGAGGAGAAATGTTGCACTGGACCTCAAAGGCTGGGTTACATACTGTATGCTTTATTCATCTCTTGTACTTTAGATAGAGACATACATGCATACATACATACATACATACATACATACATACATACAAACAATAGAATAGTAAAAACACAGAGACACTGGAGATGGCACATTATCAGGTTCCTGAATTTGTAGATATCACCAATGTTTCTGATAACCTCCACTTCAATGATACTGTGAAGTATTGTTGGGTAAAAAGTTAGCCACTTGTTCCACATTCACTGGTGCCTGTTTTGTGCCACCACACACTGTATTAAGACCTTGATGTTGGGGCTGGAGAGATGGCTCAGCGGTTAAGAGAACTGTCTCCTCTTCCAAAGGACTTGGCTTCAATTCCCAATACCCACATGGCAGCTCACAACTATTTATAACTCCATTTCCAGGGTATCTGACACCTTCACACCAATGCATGTAAAATAAATTAAAAAAAAAAAAAAAAGACCTTGATATGATGTTGAGATACCCAGCTTAGCACTTAGAGCTCAGACAAAGGACTGTCCTTTGCCTATCACTTCTTTTCTATCTTATTTCTTTTACCTTATCCAGATCTTAGTTTCTCCACATCAGAAGGAGAAAAGATCTCTGTTATGACTGTGTTTAATAACTTCTCATTTAAAATAAAATAATCTGGTGTTTACTGTCTTGTTCCCTGTGTGATTTTTGTTTTGTTTTGTTTTTTCACAGATATCAGGGGTCTGACCAGTGCCTCACAGCTGGAACAATTGAATAAGCGATATTGGTACATTTGTCAGGATTTTACTGAATATAAATACACACATCAACCAAACCGCTTTCCTGATCTTATGATGTGCTTGCCAGAGATCCGATACATTGCAGGTAATATTCTGAGTCCAGGCTTCCAACACTTCCTTGCTTCTCCAAGCTTGTGAAGGGGTTGATATGAGTAGGGTTCACAGGATGCTCATTCCAGGCCCATCACCAGCTGCAGAAGTAGTTACTACTCTTACCCTCAGAAAAGTTCTATTGGAATAGGAAGTTTGTGTTTCCTTTTAGAAAAGAGAAACTGGCGTGTCCCAAGTACCTATTGTGTACAGGTAGGTGTTCTGTGGATGAGGAAAGCAAGCTCAGAGTCTCCAGTTCATGTCCTGAACTGTATGCTTTTAGATAATGAATTTTAATTGTGAATTATATATCAATTTAAAAAACTTTGTCTCAGAGGATTGCACTACTCTTTCCAGGGCCATATAAAGTGGCACTTTTAAGCTCCTGTGTTTCACAAAGGAATTTTGTGTCTGTCTTGAGCCCCTGCTAAGCTCCTGACTGTTAGTAGGTCTGTTTCAGTGTGTAACCTTGGCTCCTTATTGTTCTTTACTTTACATAGTGAGGATTCTTGTTTTTGATGTCCAGCACCCATTGGGGTGATGTTTAGACTGGGGTTGTTTCTGTAAAATTCAGCAATACAATTTTTGAAGGAAAACATGTATAATCAGACTTTGTTTTCTGCCACCAGCCCTAAATAATGACATGGAGATTTAATAATAATTATGAAATCTCATCCTTAGCTTAGGCTTGTCCTGCTAGCTCTTATAATTTAAATTAACCCATTTATATTAATCTATGTTTTGCCTCAGAGCTGTTTTTCTTTCATTCTGTATGTCTGACTCTCTCCATGTCTCATTGGAGTCTCCTTTGCACCTCAGTTATCTCCTCCTACTTCCCCTCTCTGCCTGGAAGTCCTGCCTGAACCTCCTACCAAGCTATTGGCCATTCAGCTTTCTTAAACCAGTCACAGCAATATGTCTTCACACAATGTATAAATCTCCCACAACAAACATGTCAGTCTTTTTTTCTCTATTTCTTGAGCCACAGAGCAGTCTAGCAGATATGAGCTGGACCTGGCAGCAGTGTTTCCAGTCACCTGGAAAGCTTTTGGAAAAAAAAGCTTTTTTTTCCCCTCATCTCCAGACATTCTGACTTCATTGGTATGGAGTGAAGCCCAGGCATCAGTATTTTCTTAATGCCCTCCAGGTGATTCTAAGGTACTGTCAGGGAGAACTACATAGATGTTTCACTTACATTGTTTGTATGCTTAATGCTCTATGAAGTCATCAGTGGGAAAAAAAAAAAAAAAAAAAAAAAAAACCTGTCAAACTCTTTTATCTCCAGACATTTCAAATTTATTTGCCCCTGTAACTCTTCCCTTTACTTCCCAAGTACTTTCATTAATCAGTTATTCTGTTTTGGAGAGCAGTGTTTTATAGAATGCTAGAGAGTTGGCAGGAAGCAAGTTTCCTATAGTATTTTAGCTACAAAGAGCTAAGTAGGACTCCGTCTCCATTTCAGATGCTCAGCTGTAAAATGGGGTAAAAGGCAATCACAAAAACATTATGAGTTTGAATGAGACAATGCTTTGAACTGGCTGGCATAGAACAAGTGTAGCAGATGGAAGAGTGAGCCTAGACACTCTGACATTATCTAACCTTATGACCTGTGCTGTATTCCTGATACTTGTCTTGCCCTTGTCCTACACCAAGGAGATCCAGCAGCCTGAGAATAGACCAGACAGGCTTCCCTAGTCGCCGCTACTAATTCCTCTCTTCCCTTTACCTAGGAAAGATGGTGAACGTGCCCCTGGAGCAGCTGCCCCTCCTCTTTAAGGTGGTGCTGCATTCCTGCAAGACAAGTGCAGTGAAGGAGTGACCTGTCCCCTGCACTGCCTCAGGTGCTCCAGTGCCTTGGGTGGACGGGACAGGCTCCAGAGGAAAGAGCCAGAGAGACCAAGATGGAGACTGTGGAGCAGCTACCTCCATCACAAGAAGAATTTGTTTGTTTGTCTGTTTTTAACCTCATTTTTCTATATATTTATTTCACGACAGAGTTGAATGTATGGCCTTCAACATGATGCACATGCTTTTGTGTGAATGCAGCAGATGCATTTCCTTGCAGTTTACAGAATGTGAAGATGTTTAATGTTACTGTGTTGTCATTGTTTAGAGATAGTTCTTTTGTATTTTAAGGGAAAGGGTGGGATGGACTAGACGACTATTTCCATAATGTTGACAAAGACAACTACCTCAATGGAAACCGGGATATGACCATCCCTACCTTTTCCACAATCTCAGCAGACGTACACTTGTCTGTTAGAGAACAAACTGCCTTTTTATAGCCACAGACTTACTAAGTAAAAGAGTATGCCAAAAGAGCAAAATGGTATAGGGAGATTTACTAAAGAGGCGGGTAGGATGTTTGAGAGGCAATTTTTATTTTAATCCTCAATGTTTGATGAGGATTAACCATCACCTCATCCCACAAGCCTAAAGGGCAGAAACTCCTGCTCCTCCCTTCTGCTGCATCCCTCCCACCCCACACACTGTTGTCTGTTGAATGCTGCTGTCAATTTTTCATCTAGGCAGAGTCCTGACAATAAATCAGCCTCCCAGCTAACCTGGGGCTCACAGCTGCCTAGTTTCCTGACCCAGATCTACCAAGGCCTACCTTCTTCAGACTCCATCCCTCCCTGCTATGAATTTGACTCCTTGTCCTTTAGAAAAGTGACAGAAAAATGCCCTGTTCTGGATCTGATGCCATTTCTGATTTATTCTCCTTTAACTTGTTTCTCTCAAAGGGTAGAGGGATGAAGGCCAACCTACTGAAAGAATAGATTCCTTTGGAAGCCCCTGTTCTCTCCCCACCTTATCCTCAGAACCAAATCTTGAACTTGTTTTGTTTTTGTATTTTGTTGTTGTCATTTGTTTGTTTTGTTTTTGAGACAGGGTTTCTCTGGGTAGCCCTGGCTGTCCTGGAACTCACTCTGTAGACTAGGCTGGCCTTAAACTCACAGAGATCCACCTGCTTCTACCTCCCAAGTGCTGGGATTAAGGGTGTACACCACCACTGCTCGGCTAAAACTACCCCATTTTTAAACAATAGAAAGAACCAGAGACTTGGTTCCTAAATTTTGTTGTAAGCTCTCCTATTATTTCCAAAATGAGATTACTTTACCAGGGCTCTACAACAGAAAGCCAAGACCCAGCTATTCCTTCAACTAACATCAGTGGTCTGGTCTACCAAGGCTTGGAGGGACGGAGCCAGAAGTACCCGGAAGGGAAAGGGGCTTTAAACTACCTCATGTGTCTAAGGGCTTGCCTGCTGCCTCTGCAGATGCAGCCAGGAGCTGTTGTGATTTACTGCCTGCCCCACCTAGTTCTAAGAAGAGTTCTTGCCCTCCAGAATTTGGTTAGGACTACACCAAGTTTGTCTTAGAGTTGTTTCAGCTGCTTTTCCTTTCTTTGCCCACACCAGGCCTTCCTACAGCCAGTACCCCAGGCAGGTACTCCACTGGCTGCATCTCTTGGCTGGCCTGCCACACCTACAGTATCTCCTTGAGCCTTTGTGTTCAGGAACTGTTTACTCTACCCCAACGAAGCCTAGTTCACTTACATAGGAGGCCACCAAATCCTGTGCATCCTAGGTAGTCTTCACTAGAACTTTTCTCTCTAGTAAATTGTTACGGGTACCACAAAGTGACACTTAATGTCCCTTGATGTCCAAAGTTCAGAGCATTATTTCTCAGTCTTATTCCCCAGCTGCTCTGAGAAAGAAAGAAAAAAAGAGATGTGTTCCTCAGGAAAGTTCCAGACGGAATATTTTTCACATGTTGGTGGGAAGATATGTGTGTGTTGATGTGTATGTTTGTTTCTAAGTTCACTATATTTTTATTTGCCTCAAATTTTGTATTTAACCAACCAGATCACATTCTTTGGCTCCAGGTCAGAGTCTCAGCTGTGTTCCTCAAGGTGAAAATCAGAGACACCTCTCAGAGACATCACCTATGTACGGCAGCTTTCTTTTGCTTAGACCTCCATTTGTCAAATTGCTAGTTTTTGAAATTTCTTTTCAAACTAACATCTTACCTGGTGTGTTGAATGTCAAAGCTCTGATGAGGCAAGAATATGTCTCTCCAATAATGAAGTATTAAACAGAGCAGGGTGTTAATTTGTAGAGTGGGGGAAAGGTTCTGCAAGTTGCCATTGTACAAATCCATTTTTACAAATGTTTGCAGCAGATTCCACAGAACAAAGAGCCCATTCATTGCCAAGAGCCCTGCAGAATCTCTGAGCCAAGTGGCTGTGTGTTCTGAGCTGGAGCCTGACCTGTGGACCGCCTTTAATGTCTTCTGCACCCAGTCCTTTTATGACATGGGCTTCTTTTAAACAGGGTAAAGTGACTATGCTGCATTGCAAACTCAGGTATTATGAGGAGAAGGTAGGAGTGTAGCTAGCAGCGTGGAGACATTAGGTCAGCCACTAGATGTATTTGTGATTTTGGTTTGAAGGACACAGAGAAAGGTTGGAGGGGGAGGTTTGGTGTGCTTGTTCTTTGCCTTTTTTTCCCATAATGTTTGGTTAACAGGCAGCCTTTTTGCTAGTGGAAGAAGGAAAAATTTGTGCACATTATTTCTCATTCCTCTCTCTCCTGTCCTCTCTGATCCTGGCCACTAAAAGTACTCACTTTGAGTGAGAATTCTTCACCATAAAAAATATAACCCCAAAAGCCATGTTGAAAAGGAGAATCCACCTCCTTGCACTATGCCAAAACATACAGGCTTCCCTTTTCTTGTATGTTTTCTTGACTCAAGATAAAAGTTTGGATTCTTGGAGCTTTGTAATTCATGTTCTCTGGCTCCCTTTGTAGACCTTCAGTGACCTTTGCAGGGTTTGGTGGTCTCACCCTTAAGTTTGGAGAAATTCCCTACAACTCATCTCAAAGCACTCCACCTGGCTCAGGACACCCTGTCCCCAGAGCCAATCTACAGCTGAAGAGGGCAGTCAGGAACCTCCCTGTCCTGATGGTAGAACCAGGAGGGTAGGAGAACATAGAGGCATCACCCAAAGTTGCCCGCTCCACATGTATCAGCCTACCTCTGACCTGCCCCACTATTCAGGGAAGTACATGCTGCCACGGTCTGAGCCAGCTGTCTAGTCTGCTGCTCTGCACCTCTCTTGTTTGTTCTTGACTTCCTGAATAATGGGACAGATAGGCAGCAGGCAGTCTCTTAAGTTGTGGCCAAGGTTAGCCAAAGTAAAGGGGCCGTGGCCTCCCATAGGGCAGAAAGCTGAGCAGACGTTCTGTGTTTCTGCCTTTGTAACACTATTCTTCGTGGTTTTTCCTTGTTAATTTTTTTTTTTTTTTGCAGCTGTTTTTAAGAAATTTAGTCTTTCAGACCAGCCCTTCTATTAAACTTTGATTTTTTTTTCTTTATTGCTTTGTTAAAGTTTAGAAAGAAAAAAAAAACCCACTAACTGACTCCCCCACCTTGATCCATGGAAATACCCACACACCCCTCTGCTGTTGGTCCTCCTCCCTTTTCCTCATGCCCAGTGTCCATGAAGTAGTGTTTTATCTATGTCTTAGGATGAAAAATGGCAGTCATCCCACCAGGTGCTGGAAACTGGTCAGCCTTGAAGCAGGCACTTCTGGGGCCACAGCTCAGGGATGTGTATTTAATTAAAGGGTCCCCAGAAAGCCCTTTCTTGGCTGCCACAAGTAACATCTTTTCTAGACTAGAGAGTCAAACCCTGGCCATTTATTTCCTCAGAGGGCGAAGCTACAGTCCACTGAGCTGGAAGCAAGCTAGCTGCCTCTTTGGTTAGGTCTGGGCTTCCTCAAGACTTCTGATCATCCTACACATGAGTCTCTATGGTGCTCATGGAAAGCCTGGCCCTTCTGCCCAGGACAAGTCCTCTTCTCAGACTGTAGTCCTAAATAGACCCCAGCTTGCTTGGGTATCAGTTGTAGACTTAAATGGAAGTGTGAGAAAGGCCAGGGCCTGCTCCAAACCTAAGAAAAATGTGCTACTGGTGGAGGCTAGTTTCCCAAACCCTGAAGCCAGCCTTGCCAGCCAAAGGGTTCTCTTGCTCTTGGGTGACCTTTTTCTTAGCTAAAATATAATAGGTGATAATGTTTTTGACTCAAATTTCCATTAAAAAAAAAAAACCAAAAAAAAAAAAAAAAAAAACTACCTCGTGAGTGACATCCTGGTCGATTCCTCTCTGAGGATTCCTGTGGGAAAAGAATACTGTAGCTCTCGTGCTGTTTACATGTTTCTGTCGGGAATGAAACCCTGGACTGTTGGTGTTTTTGTCTGTGTTGCCATCCCAGGCCTGTGATAGGGGTTTGTGGCTGCATTGTAATGTCTGGGCAGTGTCTGGGGAGTTCTTTCCACCTGCCCAGCTAGGGACAAGCCACCCCTGGAAGAGGCCTTCCTACGCTCCATGGTTTGGATTTCAGGGGCTCTGATGGCAAGTGATGAGCCTGCCTTAGGCTACCTCCCAGTCCTCCCACAGTCCTATGTAGGAATCAAGTGAATAGGATGTCTCTGAGCCCTTGTTCCCAAAGGGCCGGCCAAGGGCTGCCTGCCAGCCTGGCTCCATCAGCCCTGCATGACCAAATGATAGTTGGTGGGCTCTGCAGGCTACTCAGGCCCTCTGCTACCTCCCACACTTGTCTGCTGGCAAGGGGTGGGCCCTGTTCTGTGAATTGACTACCTGTGAAAATGTGACCAGTTAGTGTGAAATGCATGTTTAGCAAGCATTAGGTACTGTATTTGAACCAATAAATGTGAATCCTCTGCACATGCCATCTGTCTGTGAAGCTTATCTGGGACTCGGGGGTAGGGATGGCCGGGTGTCCTGGACTCCTGCTCATAGCCAGCACCACCCATCTCTGTTGCTGAGAGCCGGCAAGGAATGGTCTGCTCCAGAATTTCAGGAGCCAGTGAGTGCCTGCTATCTGCTGGGCACTGTGTTGCTTTTTCATAAACCTAGACCACCATGAGTTTGAAGGACCATTGTCTCATTTTGTAAATGAAGAAACTAAGGTTGAGAATGGTGAAAAGACTTGCACAAGGTTCCCAGCCAGAAAAAAGGCACAACTAGGGGATAGCCTGGTGGGAGATACACAGACCTGTGTAGTACTGCAAGGAGAGCGTTACGACTTGGGAGGGGCAGGTAGTAAGAACCTAAAAGGAGGGGCTTCCCTGATGAGAATAGTTCTGAAAGTCACCAAGATGAAAACTACACACCACTGCAGCTTGTTCCAAGATCCTATAAACAAAAGAACATGAGGAAGAAATTGAGTTTGGGGAAGCTATTGGGCCCTGGAGCGCCACTGGAAGGAGTTCGGAGTTGGGGAGAAGTCCACCTGCTGAGTCTCAGCTGTGTCAGAGGCAGCAATGTGCTGCATGATGGTGGCCTGCCTTGCCTACTCAGTGATCTAGCAAGTTAATACCCGACTCTCCAGAAAACCAATAAGGCTTCTTTATAAGTTATGTAGGATGTGAGCAAATAGCGACTGAAAAGTCAAGGGACATGGCCAGAGGCAACACAGAAAGTGTCTTGAACCCGGATCTACCGGTTCCAAAGTTCAGCCATCTTGTACTCTTGCTCACACACCCTGCTCAGGCAGGGTGACGGCTGTAAAGACAGAGGGAGACTCCTCAATGGCAAGATAAAGGCCAGAGGAGTCTCCTCAGTCTATTAATTTGTTCTGAGTGAAACAGGGACACCCAGCTGCCTTCTATGCTCTGTGCCCAGCATAAGGTGCCAAAGAGCCCTTGAGGCTTGAAAGAGGTGATTTGAAACAAAGACCACAGCAGAAGGAGGTAATGGGGTGTCTTCAAGAGGGAGCAGATAGAAACAGGCGCAGGAAGGGTGTGCACTGGCTGCCTAGTGACAGCCACACCCTATGGCCACCTGCACCATGCCTTGTCATCCCTTTTGCTCTGAAGCATACAGGCTCAGGGAATTTTTGCACTTGCCTAAGATGACATGTGCAAGCAGTAGAATTAGTTTTTGAATCCAGATCTATCTGATACCAAGGTTACAAGAGCTTCCTCCCTGCTCCTTCAGCAGTTCTGAGCACAAATGGGAGTTTGTAACAAAGCTTAGGAACAGACGGCCTTTGGTTGAACCTTTCACTATTCAAAAACAAACCAACCAATGAAAGATTAATCCTGTAAACTGTATATAAAGGCCAAACCTAATCGTACTGAAAAGCACTGACATCCCCAAGGTTCTTGGGGTGCCACTGAACATAGGCACTCATGAAGGCTCTGTCAAAAAAGAAACTGTGGCCAAAAACAGAGGAAATGCCATGTTCTTTATTTTCCTCCCAGATTCCCAAACTTCCTTTGCATAGACAAGGCTGTGGAAAGTCTTAGCACTTAGCCCAACCAGGTTGTACCAAAATTACCTGATCATCGGATTTGCTTATTTTTTCCATGGAAGTTCTGTTGGGTCAGCATTCCATGGAATAAAATTTAGAACAGTGCTCTCCAAATATCTAAGTGGCTTCTTAAGTAATGGTGAACTGTGAGCTTCCTGGGGTATGAGGTAACAGTCTAGAAAGAAGGAAGAATGGAGGGGTATAGCTCAGTGTGATACCCCAAGTTCATTTTCAGCACCAAAATAATAAGTGACATAGACATAGACTGTAGTGACATCCATGAAGTCACTTACTCCCCAGAGCAACCCAGTAAGGTATGTGCTGTGGTAATCCATTTTACAAGTAAGAAAACTGAAACCCAGAGAGGGTAAATAATGTGCATAGGTGACCTAACTGGGGAGTGCTCCTGGGTGCATAGGAATGAGTGCTGGGTGTTGGAAGTGTGTCCACTGAGCTTACCAGGCTGAAGGTGAGGATGTCTGTGTAACCAGCAGTGGTTCCATCAGTGGAGCCATAAACATCCAGAAATGATGGTGGGAAGGTGGTGGAATTAGGGTGGTCTGGCTGCAAGGAGTCCTTTCCAGACAAGAGGAGCAGCAACAAGGGGTCTCAGCTCATCCCCTCCATGGTGGTATTTAACAATGACCCAGATAGATACCTCCATGGTCCCCACCTGCCCTATCCTCACAGTTCACTAAGAAGCCACTTAGATATTTGGAGAGCACTGTTCTAAATTTTATTCCATGGAATGCTGACCCAACAGAACTTCCATGGAAGAAATTAGCAAATTTGATGATCAGGTAATTTTGGTACAACCTGATTGGGCTAAATGCTAAGCAGAGGATGGTACCTGTGCCTCAGTTGTTTAGGAATGATAGTGGCTAGCTCTAAGGGCTTACTGAAGTCCATCTGTACAAGGAGGCTGTTTGCTGAAGCTGCAGCCCCCTCCACCTCAGCAGCAGAGGCCCAGCAAAGCCAGGAGCCTCCTCTCTGCTTGGCCTGGCCTTGGCCTGGCTGCCCATCAGGAGTTTGGGTGCAGTGACAATCAGCCTGCCAGCTCCTGTGGCAAAAGTGCCCAACTGCCAGACCCAGGGCTTCTAGAGACTTTGTTCCCTTGGCAACAAGTCTCACCATGGAGACCACAGCCCCATCCTTGCCCTCCTTGCAAGCTCCCTCTCCACAAGCCTTCCCTGCTCTGCACCCAGTCCTTAAGAGCATGTAGGTATAGTGGAGTACAGTAAGGAAGGGCACAGCCAACAGGAGCAACCCAATTCTGAGCATCCACTTTATGCCTGGGAAGGCTCTGGTGGCCACGCCACCGTCTCATTTTGGCTGAAAGCCAGGCAGGTACCAGACCAAAGTCTCAAAGCTGAGTCTCATTTTGGCTGAAAGCCAGGCAGGCACCAGACCAAAGTCTCAAAGCTGATCAGTGCAGGAGCTGAAACTTGCATCCAAGACTGTGTTTTTCCTCCCTGTGGCCATGATTGCCTTGGGCCACAGTCTAACTAGGACTGGATAGCTGGGGGGGAGGGGGGAGGAGGGAGAGAAAGAGAGAGAGAGAGAGAGAGAGAGAGAGAGAGAGAGAGAGAGAGAGACCCTACTGGCAGCACAAACCATTGCTGCAGCCCTTTGAGGTCCAGGCTGGATCCAACATCAATGGAGGAATTGCACTATTTTAAGCCAGGACTGGGGGGCCCCATGTGGGCACAGGGAGGGTGGCCTCAGGCCCTTGGCTAGCTTCCCGGAAGTCACCATGGCCTCCCTCCTCTCCCCCAGCAGCTTTCAGAGGCAGTCACTTCCCTACAAACAGGAAGGAGGTCCTCAGGCTAAGACCTCCAGCCCCAGTTTCCTCCCCTTCCCCCCACCCCAGCCTTCTCTACTACATGGGGGAGCTCACCAGATCCTGGTTTGTGTACCTACTGGGGATGGCTCCCTAGGTGGGTGAAAGGGGGCCTTAATGTATGCTGCTCCAGTCACGCCACTGCTCCAGGACAGGCTTCCCTTTTCCAGGGCCCTTGGTCCCCTCACCATGGTCTGACTTTTCATGTACTTTCCCACTGAGGATAGTCACTGAGTCAGAAGAGCAGAGGTGTCCCCAGATTTGGTATAATTCAAGGACCCTGGAGAAAAAGCAAAGAAAAACATATTAGAACACTGAAGGAACAAACAAATTGGGACAATCCAAGAGAAAGATACGGGAATAAACAGATTGATCAAGACAGAGACAAGCAGAGAAAGCCAAGAGATACCAACAGTGACTGTCGGAGGCTAGGTCTGAGAGCAGGGGCATAGCCCAGTGGCAGCTCTGACTATTCCCCCAAGCACAGGCCTAGTCTCAGAGCTGTGGGGGGCCTACCGGCTGCAGAACTCGAGAGGAATGTGGGGAGCAAGGCTGGGTCACCTCTTGAGGGCCAAGCGTGTGTGCTCTGAGATAAGCTGCCCCAGGAAGGGGCCACAGCTGCACTGCACGCTCCAGGAGCATGGCAGAGAGGCCCAGGACCAAGGCTGAAGGTTCAGCACCACCAGACACCCAGCACCTGCCCCTTCCTGGAGGGGCTCCACCAGGCTTCATTTTAGAAGGTCCCAGGTCCCTCTGGCCCTTGCCTTCCTTGGAGGGCATTCAGCTTCTAAGTGAATGTGTTGAGAATAGCACCAGCCACCAAGAGGCACTTACCTGGCTGTTCCAGTTCTGGCTGCAGTCTTGTCTCAAGTCTGGGGGATGGAAAAGAAAGATGGGCACTAAGCATTATGCAGAGCAGAAGCACCAGCAGGTTGGGACATGGAGGTATGAAGGTGGACAGTTCTGAAATGAACCCCAAGTTGTCCCCATGTGGTTCTATACTGGTGTGTGTGTGTGTGTGTGTTTATCTGCATGTGTGTGTCTACATGCTACCTCTAATGTGTGTTTGTGGGGGTGGAGGTGTAGCAGTGTACACATCTTCATGTTGTCAGTCTCTAGATACTACCTCCACAAGTCTCTGGCTCTCTGTCTAGAGCAGTAGCCCCTGGAAACACCCAGTCTTTTCTACCCTCACCAGGTGGTCCATCCTGGTGAGCCACAGGAGGAGGAAAAGTCAGCAGGTCTAGAGGAGGCCCCCAGCCCCCCTCCCCATGATGCAGCTGAGGCTCCCGCTGGCCACGGCCTTGACCCAGCACTATGGACTTCTCTGACATTGGCATCGGATCTGAACATCTGGCAGTAGGCTGATAAGGGGTGCAGCGGAAACAGCCTCCACTGCTGCCAGCAGGCCCGCCCCCTACACTGCCCGGAATGGGGTCTTCACAGCTAGTTCCTTCTGCCCCTGGCTCCCTGGGCCCCTTGGCCTTTAGTCCAATCTCTGCCTCAATCTCTTTCTCTCTCTCCTCTCCCTTCCTCTCTTTCTCCCTTCTTGCACATTTCATTCTCTATCC